ATCCTCATGATGATGTTGATGATGGGATCCAGAAGCAACTGGTAGTGAATTTTGTTGTTCACACAGTTCCGAAACCCCGTGAATTTCGCTTTCGGTGTCTAAACTGTGATGCACACAAACATCGACTACTGCAGATACGGGAGCGGAAGCCGTGTCTCGCGAAACGAACGCGGGATTAGGTCTGTTGAGACGGATAGGCAGCCAGGAGTCACCGGTCTTGTTAGTTCGGGATGAGATCAATTTGAGAGATTCCTCTGGAATGCCTTTGGAATGATCGCCGGAGCGCAGGTCGTTTGAATCGGTTGCTGTCGACGTGGACGACTCGTTATTACGAGATCCGTTATTGCGATCAGAAATTTTATGTTTACTTGTTGATGAAATGGTAAATATTTTGGATTTCTTGAGTAAGGAACGCTGACCACTTTCCTTATCACTTCCTGAATGGTTGATGAACCGGGAATCAGCGGACAGTAAGAAACCATACTGCTGACCACTGGCACGCCCNACTTTTCATTGAATATTTGTGCGATCGGGAATCGGGAATCAGGACAACACGACGTTTGGAGAAATAACTATCCGGAGGAGGAACGAAAGTGTTTTTGGCATCTGTTTCTATATTAGGCAAATTTTGCTCGTTAAGAAAGCACATATTGCAGTTTTTCATTCGTGATTCCTGTCGTTCGGCTGAACGTAACCAGTTCCATTTCAATTGTGGTGGCCAAAATGAAAATCGGCGCTTCTTGTTCATCACAAACGGCAACGGAGGGGGTTTGTATGAAAATGGGTATCGATTGTGAGCAATGGAACCACGAACATAAAACGATGGATGTTTACCGTAGTAACCGTAGTAGTGATGGGGTAGTTGATATTCTTGTAATAAAGAAGGTTTTTGAATACACGGAAATGATCGGGGACATTGTTTATTCGTCAAACGTGATTTGCATCGTTCACGGACATGCCTGATCCAATCACGCAGTTTACGAAGTCCAAAAAGATTGCACAACGAATTCAAAAATCTTTCACAAAACCAACAATAAAGAAAGAAATAGAGATCACTCTTGATTGCCAAAGCAATAAGGGACAGGGGGATTAGGAGGTTTTCAAAAATAACAGATTTTGAGGCAGAGGTGAAGCGTATCAGGACAGAGGTCAAAACGGATGGTCCTTGAAAGATAAAAAATGTAATCACTAGACAAACTAGGGTCACAGTTATTTTCCGTTCCTCGCGACCAGCTCTATGAACATGCATTCCGGAAGGACCATGTAATGTCAAGGCAATAGCATACTGATTTTCGGATAGTTTAGGGTTGTGAAAATTGTTATTCGCTCCACTAAGACTAAATGAGGGACTGTCTGCAGCGCATTGTTCTGCCTGTGGTGTATTTGTCTGATTCATTGAGCCGCCGTGCTGCGACGTGCGGAATATCGGGCCAAATTTGAAATAATCTGATGTGGACTTACTACATTGACGACGATCGCTCATTTGATTCGAGGTGTCGGTAAGTGAGTTCAACTGACTGTTCATAGCACTTTTGCCCGAGGTTGGCAAGCCTGCACCGAATGTGGCTCGCAACAGTTTGGAAGATCGTCTCACAGCTTGAATCAGTCGCAGATTCACAAAGGTTAGCAAAGCGAACGGTGCAATGAGGAACAGGGTGACTTGTACAATCCACACATAGCACCGCTGATAAACAGCTATATTAGGATAGGTCACCGGGTCGTTAGACATGTTTAACAAAACAAATCCAGGAGTTCGAATTATCAGACTACTCACAATGACCATGGTGACCACAATCCGTCGGTGTTTTCGGCTGATACGGCGCGACTGAAGTGGATAACATATGGCAACATAGCGTTCCGTGGCAAGCATTGCCGTTAACCAGTTGGAGATGAACAATAAAGTATCCACCGACTCCCCAAGCACAGTTTCAGCTGAATAGAACCACATTCGAAATTTTTCCGAGGTCCATGGAATAATGAAATAATCTAATGAGAGTATGGATAGGAGTAGTAAAATCAACAGGTCAACAATAGCCAGCATGACGACATAGGTCACGGTCGGTCGCCATAATCCGCGACGTGTGACTACGGCGATGGTCACCAGGATGCATACTATACTGGTAGCAAAAATCGGTAGGGAAACATAATGCTTGAGGATGACATACGCTTCGGCTGAGGGTAACAGTTCCGGTAAAAGTGAGTCATGGATAAGTAAGTCAACCGGGTCCAATGTTGTATTGTTCAGGATAAGTAGTGGTTCACGTGGAGTATGCATCATGACTGACAATGATTGACACGAAGCAGCCCATAATTGCATTATCGCTTCATTGTAATTCCAGCGTGTAAATTGGATCTGTCATGCCCATGTCATTTTATTCCTCTGAATGACCTGGCATTTGCCTGATTCTATATTTTCAAGCACAACAATCTGATTGGTTGTTCAAGCCGCCAATCCGACAAACTGTTAAAAAGCCTAGACCAATCAGAGAACAGCTAAACGGACCAGGTGGAATGTATACAAAATAACACACCGAAGGTTTTTACCTCTAGGATATCCATCTTAGTATCGTGTGATCCGAATTTTGCTGTTTTCCAAAACCTGTGTCACAACTAAATGTTTTGAAGTAGATGGTTCTTTTTGGTCAAATCAAGCATCATTCAGCCTTAACTGTTCTTTATTTAACTTTCGAGATTTTATCTCATTTAGTCACTCACTCCACTTAAAGTCCTCCCGAAATTTTAAACAAACTAACACAATAGTGACCGCCATTGGCAGACTTACACTATTCTCTGTCCACCTTTGTGGTACAAATGTCGTTTGATGAATTGTGTGTATATGTGATGGGTTTTGTGTGTGAATTATGACGCATTGGACGTGTGTTTGGGGAAGTATCACGGGATTCAAAGGTTTATTTAAACTTAAATCCTTGTACTTGTCTTCCTTGACAGCAGACAGAGTGAATCTTGTTAGCAAGTATAGCAGGTAAATCCTCCAAAAATTGAAATAACCTTTTCCCTTTATGAACTTGAATAAAAAACATAACAGCACAATGTTCCACACTTTATTTCCGGAAGTATTTCGTTGTATCTCTTCAGGTGCATGATACAATCAAAGAATATAATGAAAACCATCAAGTAACGTTCACCGAGGATGAGCTGTTGGTGCTACCTTCCTCCATCTTTTTTCCAAGGTAGGGCTAGATTTGTGTAACGATCTTGGAAACTTGCCATTCCGTTTGAGTGTGAGTCGTGCTCATGTCTCTCTGGACCTTTT